AAATCACACAGAATCAGATTTCTTCATGTCCACCCTAACGCAAGGCGTCCCAAGCAGAGCGGACGGTTGACATGAGTTCCACGCAGCATCAGTCCACCAAGAAGAGACAAAAAATTGTAAATACTTCTGCAGCCGTGTCTCATCACACAGACGCCAGCAGCATCTTTTCCTTCCTTACCACTGTTGACCATGAGAGGGCAGCGTTGCCCGAGCAGAATTGAATCCTGGCGCCTGGTGATTTGGATAGAATGGGGTTCCTGTGTCCTCTTTTTTCTCTTTGCTGTCAGCATAGACTATCATACTAGAGGATGTAATAATACGGCCTGTCGTTAGTGAAGACAAAGATACTGTTACATCATGATGTTGACAGAATGTCACAGAAAATTGTTAGACTGGAATTAGTAGAATAATTATTATCAGAGCAAATAATAATAATGGTTAAAATAGAATAGCATAGAATTACAATGTAATAGGATATACTAGAATTATCATTAGGGTTCTTATATGAATATATGTATTAGAACGCTAGCTACTAGGCTACAATATATTAGAATGTAATAGGAAATTATTAGAGTAGAAACATGAGAAGAATAATTATTATTAGTGTAATAGTAATAATTAAAATAAATAGAATAGAATAGAAATACAATATAATATTAGTGTACATTATAGCTATTAGGGTTATTATATACACATACTATAAGTATTAGAATATATTAGAATATTAGAAAATATATTTTTATTCTCATAGTAAACAGAATGTTATCAGAATATTTCTAGTGTTTCTAATATCCTACAGTTAACATTCTACCAGAATGTTAGGAATTGAATAGAAATAATGTAACTAGAATCTAATATATTATTAGGCACTGTTATTAGAATAATTGGGATTAATAATGAAAACCCTCTCCTGGCCCCAAACATTGTAAGCTGGACGTTGCATTTCATAAAGGGAACTGTGTTCACAGTCAGCATGCTTTTATTCTGCACAACTCCAGTTAGAGTCAGGGTTTTCTGAGTGGCTATTTTCAGAGCCATCGGCCCCTGTATACACACTGCAGCCCCGGCTGGCCCTTCCTCCACGTTGCTCGGCTCTCCCCGAGTCCAGCCAGCCTCAGCCCTCGCCTGGACCCATCCCCAATGTCCTCCTGTCTCCTCCGGCCACACGCACTCCTGCCCACAGCATCTGTCCCAGGCAGCCACTGAAGGGGTCCCCCACTGACACCAGCCAGACCACGCTGTCCTCCCTTGCAGCCCTTGAGTGCAAAGACCCAGAGCTCCCTACTGTTTGGGGCTCTGAGGTGGTCTGTCCATGATCTGCCCATCTCAGACGGTGACCTGGCCCCTCTCCTGGCATTGCTAGCCTTCCTGCTGCCCCTCCAACACACCATGAGGCCCTCCGGTCCCTCTCCCTGCCAGCCTCCTGCAGGGCATCGCCCCTGCTGGTCCCTTCTCTTCTGCTCTCAGGAAGGCTCACCTGCAACCTGACCTCAGAGCCCTGCCCCGCCTCCCCACTCTGTCCCAGCACCTCCTTCTCTTCCCTTTATAGCACTCATGGGGGTCTGAAACCATCTGACCACCTGTGCTGACTGCTCAGGAGGTCACCAGATGCAAATTGTGCTTCTTGAGCCAGGAGACTCATGGCAGCCGGTGGGAGGAAGTCATTGTATGGAAGGTGGAGATGACTTTTTTTTTCAAAGTCCTTGTCTCCAGTTTACTTGGATTTCTGTTTCTCTATTTTCACACCTGCAGCAGGATCCAGCCCAGACTGTCTTGTCTGTTCCTTTATTGCTTTCAGTGGTTGTTTAAATCTTTCCTGAAGTACAGGAGAAACCATGTGTTAGGCAAAAGCTGCCGTGTGATAATGGTGGGAGAGCATGTTGTAACTGGGATTTTATTTTCATGCCGTAAGAAATGTCTAGGTGCGATTGAAAATGTGCAGCACGTTGCAGAAAAGTCACCAGCAGGTTTTCCCAGGAAAACCCAGCTCAGCTCTTTTTTTTTTTTCCCCATCATCTGCTCCTTTCACATCCACCCTTGTGGAGTGTTGACCACCACAGACCTGTTTTTAGGGAAGGTGGGATTTGTGTCCATTTGGACACACGTCCACATGGCATGTTAGCGGCAGCGCGGTGGTTCTCAGACATTTCGGCCACAGGACCCTGAAAGTTTTCAGCAACCACCTGTCCTAAAAGTTATTACATTCCTAAAACTTATAAACGCTCGTAAGTGTTACTACTGACCCCAGAGAGCTTCCACTGATGCGGGTTACATCTGCCAGTGTTCACCACATTTGAAATTAAAACGGAAATTTAA